TTGTAAACACAGAGGAATGCGATTGGCATTCCTGAGTCATAGGGTAAAAAAAAAGAAAAAAAAGACATTATATAATTTTTATAATTAGAACTGTATATTTACACTGCCATTCTATGCAAACTTGTGCTAAATCCTCACATTTCAAAAAAAAGCATTTTACGTTGACCGTTGTTGTTCTCGTAGAATTTTTTGTTCTTAAGAATGGAGCAACGCTTGGGATATTAAGAACAAAATCATTGGCGACGCGCACCACGCGGGCCGGTGTGATCATGCGTTTTTGCACTATTTCATGTTGTAGTAAGTTCGCTTGGGATCCCAGTAGCTAGAATTTGCGGAATTTTGGTCCTCGAAGTTCAGAAAATTGATAATTGTGCAGCTGTTGGGTGGGTCATTCGTCGATTTCGACTTCAGTGACCGGACAACAGAAAGCTGCTGGTGCATGAAAAAGACTGCTACGAGGAGTATCAGTCATCTGCTGTAAACACTGCTTTTGCTACAGCAAAAGCGAATATCGCTAGTGTTATGCAAATCTGCATAATTATGGGAAGCGTGTCCGTACACAAGTTCCGGACAATTCTAAGTTGCACGCCACAATTTTTATGTGTCCGTGCATGAGGCCTGGGCGGTTCTAAGGGAAAACATTTTCTTAAAATTCCAACTTTTCAGTTTTTCTCATCCCCAAGCTCGCAGTTTTGCCGCCAAAGTTCACATGTGTCCGTATATGAGACCCGGACGGTCCCATGGAGCTGAACATGAAATTTTCTAGTCACACGTGAGTAAGAACATCCCCTTAAAATTCCAGCTTTCTAGTTTTCTTCGTTTCCAAGTTGTCGGTTTTTCCGCCAAAATTGCCCGTATGTGAAACGTAGGCATGCGTAATAGTTGGTATCATATTCCTGTGATCGCTTATAGCCGGGGGGCACAATGACAAGATTTCAGCATCAAAGCATACGTGGCTGCTGAGTAGAAATATCTGGGCAGATGAGCACACACACACACGCATACACACACATACATACACACACACACACGCATACACACACACAACACAGACACAGGGTGTCGCAAAATATGTTTATAGTGACGGTAGCACTACGCGGCAAAAATGCATAAAAAGAAAGAAATCGGATGTGAATAGTTGATGTAACAATGAAGAAGGTTTTCAGATCCAGGGAGTGTTGCAGCAGACGCA